GCTGGAGGGCCCGGCCAGAGTGGCGAATTGACTGGGAGGGTACACCACAGAGCTTCGCACTCAGTTACCCCTGGATCCTTGCTTTCGAGCCAAACTTTATTGAGCTCCGGAATATGGAGAACGGTGCTGTACACATTGTCCCTCGCAAGAACATTCGCATGCTTCATAGTAGTACACATGAGGTAAGTTTGATCACACAGAAGGCTATTTCTTTCCAGGATGCTAACATGATGTCAGATCCTATTTGCACACGAGGACGATAAGGGAGACGACGTTGTTGAGGCCATCGACTTTTGGAAGAGCAACCGCAAGTCGGAGCTGCTCGGTTCATAACAATAAATAAATACCGGACCCGGGATTGGGGAGCGTTTCTTTTTCCTGGAAAGATTTTTTCTTCTTGTATTACTTGGCGGCGCCCAACTACTACGACGTCAACTATCCTTGGGTGCGAGATACTCGCAAGAGTATTGACGATTTTCGGCTTCTTTGTGGTATCCCTTTTCTTTGGGAAGACGCAAGATTTTGGGCCGCACTTCGAATCGCTCACCGGATGTGGTTGTAGTGCTCCTGGCTATGTAAATCGTCAAGCCAGCGCATGATGAGCCTTGATGCTAGCTGAACCAGAGCAAAACATCACTCCAGGGGCGTCGCTAAGATGTTTGAAATATAGGAGCTGTAGGTACGGAGACGGGGACCATGACCAGCAGGATATAGGATGGGATAAGATAAGATGGCGAGATGGAAAAGAGAAAGACGATATATCGTAGCTTGTACTCTGGAAGGATGAGCGATGTTTAGCATGGCATGGCAATGGCATAATGTTGCGTTGCATGGCATGAAATATTTTGGAGCAGCTTGGAGCGATTTGAGAGGGAGGGAGCGTCGTGAAATAATGGCCTGGACAGGACAGGAAAGGAAAGGAAAGGGCTCTACGGTACTATAGTAGTTGAGTTGACAATTGCGATTGTAGTAATTGGAGATATCCTCATCGACTTTCATTAACTGTTCTACCACCCACTCATTACTCACTCACTCACTCAATCTGTATGTCTTATCTAGGTACCTAGCCAAGTGTCGATGGCCCACTATAAAAGAATCAATCCCCTCTTATACGACCCTGACATTGGCGTTTGCCATGTGGCAGTGTCTTCTGTGGCTCGCTTGTGGTAATGACTGTTTCATATGGGTATCATGGAACGCAAATATGGAATGGTTTTTGACCATTGGGTTCTTTCAATATCTTGAGGCCTGATGAAATCTCCATTTTTTTCGTTTCTTCACCGAGTTTCGGCTCGGGGTTACTTATTCTGTAGTTAACTCGCCTAAAGTTCTGAGGTCATGATTCGTTGCGCTAGCCAGTGCTACCTCGCTGTAGCTCAGTAGACCAGGCACTAACTCTATCGCTATCTCCAATTGCATGTGATTCATTGAATACTGACATCACCTCCATCTGGACAAGACCTTCGACTACCTTATCAACCTCTTTTGCTACTTCTCTCATTGACCCTTGTCCCTACAACAACAAAACCTTAAGCTGGGATAAGCTTGTATCGCGACAATCCTCAGACAAAGATTGTCGCGATGGCTATTCCTTTTATCGGAAGGCTTCGCCCGTAAGCATCTCCCCTATTCGTCTTTACCTTGGCCTTGCATCTTGGAAGATCTGCGTGGCGCTCATCCACATTTTCATCTCTACTATGCGCCGACTTCACTAACCTTTAATCCGAATAGTCACGAGTATCTAGCTCTCGTGGGATCATTTATTCTCGTCGGTCTCGAGGCAATCATTCGAGTCTTGACTTTGGCTTTGCGTGAGTCGCAGGCCCTTTCCGAGCGGTGTAGGGGTCATACTAACAACAACATGGCAGCCCCATTTCTTGTTACGCTTTTCTATAGAGCTTCAAGACGACTCTTCAATAGGTTTTCTGCGCCTGCGAGGCGACGAGCGGAGAGTAAACGAAAAAGTTGGCTTTTTGGCTGTTTCTGTTAGACTCGGACTAACATCGTATAGCGATATCCACCAAGGTACGAGACGCGCCTGACTTCGTTGAGCTGTGTCGCATTTGGGGCTACGAAGCAGAGGAACATATCGTTCAGACCAAAGATGGATATCTTTTAGGTCTTCATCGTCTGCAGTGGAGAAAGGGTGAAGAAGGACAGAAGGTTAACTACGGCCCGACGAGTCTGAAAAAGAAGGTCATCTACATGCACCATGGCCTTCTCATGAATTCAGAGGTTTGGGTTGCTCTCACAGATGAGCAAAGATGTCTACCATTCGAGCTGGTTGAGAGAGGCTACGATGTCTGGGTAAGTTTGCCTTCGTTACGCAGCCCACGTCTATTGACTAACATTTACACAGTTTGGAAATAATCGGGGTAACAAGTACTCCAAAAAGTCAATTAATCAGTCGCCAACCTCCAACGCCTTCTGGGACTTTTCCATCGACGAATTTGCCTTCCACGACATTCCAGATAGCATCAGCTATATCCTTGATACAACCCAGCAGGAGAGTCTCTCGTACATCGGCTTTTCGCAAGGTACAGCTCAGGCTTTCGCCAGCTTAGCCATCCATCCCAAGCTCAACAACCAGATCAATGTCTTCATCGCTCTCGCGCCTGCTATGGCGCCTGCCGGCTTATCTAGTGGAATTGTCGACGCGCTCGTAACTGCATCGCCCTCTGTTTTGTTCCTTTTGTTTGGTCGTCGTTCGATTCTCAGTTCCGCCACTATGTGGGAAACCATCTTGTACCCGCCCATCTTCAGCAAGCTCATCGACATAGGGCTATCATTCTTGTTCAATTGGCAAACCCTCAATATCTCCGCGAGTCAGAAATTGGCTGCTTACCCACACCTGTACTCTTTTACGAGCACCAAGAGTGTGGTTCACTGGTTCCAGATCATTCGAAACAAATCTTTCCAGATGTATGACGATGACGTTCATCAGCCGATCAGTGTCACTTCAAGCAGCAAATACTCCAAGGTTGCCAAGTACCCGACTCGAAACATCAAAACACCAATCGTTCTGGTTTACGGTGGTAGCGATTCCCTGGTGGATATCAAGGTTATGCTCAAGGAACTACCCCCTCAAACTGTGGCAACTGAGATTCCTCACTATGAACATCTTGACTTTCTCTGGGCTCGAGATGTCGATACGCAGGTATTCCAGCACGTGTTTGATGCGCTCGATAGCTTCACTGATGCCGAGCATACAAAGGAGGAATATGATCGTTACTATGTCAGCCGGCAGGAGAGTCTTCTAGGTTCAGGTTATGCGTTTGGGCATGCTCACCATGGCAGCGAGAGCGAGTCTTCGACACTTACACCAAGTCTTGAGGGAGCCAATGGTGTCCAACTTGCACCCCAACCTCAGCCACACCGAGCACGAGAGCAGGCGTCTGGAATTCCTTCTCCTAAGAACACGACAAGACACAGAGTGAAGTACTCCGGTGAAATCCCTGCAAGCGACCGACCAGCCACCCCTGAGCTTTTTAAGAGTGCTGCGGGAAGAGACTCACCTGAAAGTGGATTAGATTCCCCAGTAGCGGCCAGAGTAAAGGCTGGTGTCAAGCGCAGTGGGAGTGTCGGGAGCAATATTAGCCTGGATATGCGAGAGGGTCGTGGTATCAGTGTCGGTGCGAGTAAGGCTGCTGGTGGCATTGTGACGAAGAGCGGCGCCAGCGGAACCAACGTGGAGGAGAGTCCTAGAAGGGACAGCTCTGCAGAAAAGAAAAAGAAGTAGGTGGTTAAGTGGAAGCGCAATGGAGGAAGAGTTGGATTCAGTCATGTCTTCGATCGATGATTCAGAAATAATGCTTATTCTTTTTATTTGTTACAGGAGGGACAGCGATACATCTCGAGCAGTACACGCACGTTACAATATATTGGGTTTGCGAGAGCCCAGCTTTTCGCAATATATATAGTGCAGACTTGCGCATATCAAGTTGCCGGAATCACGATAGGATGGAACATAGGACAAGCTGGAGACCCTCTTCTGTGCTACATTGATCATTTTCAGCCCTAAAGAGGCACAGCAGCAAGAGTCTGACTCCCATTTGATAGGTAGTCAAAATAGGATGATGGTGCGAGGAAGTGTGAGTGGGTCATTTGCAAGGCTCCATTGATCCTTCAACTATAGTATTGAGGCTGAACTGAAGCAATCAATAACATTTCTTGATAGGACCGCCTTTCAATATCTCCACAATCAAAACGGCAATGCATGTTGTTTTTCGGCCACCAAGGGCCGACGGGATGATAGAATATGTCAGTGACTAACCGCAAACTTCGCGAAACACGAAATACGACGGAGATGAACTCCGATATCATACTTGGATCCTGCACCTACCTTTCTAGCCTTTACCCGGATACCTTTATTATAGATTATGAATATTTTAAGCTTGTTTGTATATGGCCAGAGTGAAGAGCCACTCGCATTGAAGCTGAAGTACGAGAGTGTTGCATGGCGAACAGTAATATATATAGGGCTACTTGTCTTCTCATTCTTTTCCTTTAAACACTGGGCACACTTACTCATATTTACCCTGTTCTCATTTCCTCATTATGCAGCCAAGTTCGCCGGTTTCCCTTAACGGGACACAAGCTCCTGACATGCCCTTCTTCTGTCTTAAAAACCCTGAAGCTGAAGGATGTGTAGACGATACGGGCTACTACCTCTATCGCATTGATCTTGCACCAAATGCTGCATTTCTTGCGATATTCACGGCTTCATTGATCGGCTTCATCGTCACTTGGGTTTTCACTCGCAGAGGTACAGCTTTCAATGTCGCCATGATCCTAGGTCTTCTGTGTGAGATCATTGGATACAGTGGACGTATCGCGAGTTGGTATAATCGTTTCGATATGAATGCCTTCCTTACTCAGATTTGTTGCTTGACCATGGGTCCAGCCTTTATGGCTGCGAGTATCTATCTTTGTCTGCGCAGGATTGTATCGGCTTTTGGACCAGAGAACTCACGGTTACCTCCCGAATACTATACTAGATTTGTAAGTCATTCTATTGTGGATATTACTCGAACTTGTATTCTAATATACCCACTCTTTAGTTCATCCCTTGCGATGTTGTCTCTCTAGTCCTTCAAGCTCTTGGGGGCGGTATGGCGTCCGTTGCTTCTCAACAGTACAAAAGCGCAGACCTAGGCACAAACATCATGATAGCAGGACTCGCCTTCCAGGTTGTCACGATTCTCACTTTTATTGCTTGCTCAGTCGACTTTTCCATTCGAACTATCCGTCGTCAGCGTGCCCTCGGTGAAGAAGCCTTTGACCAGCGCTCTGAAATCGTCAAAGTCCGCAATTCTCGTCGGTTGAAAGCTTTTCTCTGCGCTCTATCACTCTCTGCATTCTGCATTCTTTGGAGAAGTGCCTTCCGGGTTGCGGAATTATCCGAAGGCTGGAAGGGACCCCTCATGGGTCATCAGTATATGTTTGTTGGGTTTGAGGGAATCTTGATCGTTGTTGCTGTGGCCGTTCTCAATATCTTTCATCCCGCCTTGTGTATGAAGGGGCTGTTGGAGCTGGATGATGGTGGTCTCAAGGGCATTTGGGGCTTCCGCAACCGCAAAAACAATGCCATGACTAGTGAAGAGTCTGTGGAGGATTCAGACCGAAAGACACCCACGAGCGAAGCTGTTGCAGTTTAGGCTTGGTTCGGTGTGTGTACGTGGGAGGATCAGAACAAGCGTCGGAAACAATCACCAAGTTATGTATAGGGAAGCCTGTAGGCATTGATAGGGTGGCACAAATGTTGAAGGGACGTATTGTCGGTAGTGAATTATATGGATCTTATGAATAGTCCCTATGTGTCTCCGAGTAGTTTAAGAAGTATATTCCCGCTGCATTCGGATGTTAGCCCGTGCCAAAAGTCACTTGTAGGTGTTTGACAGCATCTTCTATCATCCTATACCCCCTATCAATCACACCATGAAGAGAAAGAATAGAGTGTGTTCCGCCTTTCACCAGCAACGTTTCCACACTAACTCCCAACCCCCTCAACTGCTCCCCAAAAGCTAGTGCCTCTGGTGCGAGAATATCCATCTCTGCAACAGCAATCCACGTCTTTGGAAGCTTTCTTAAGAGAGATTCGGGGGCGAGGTTAGGGCTTGCGTCCCATTGAGAGCGATGATCATCTTGAGTAAAGTAAAGCTTACGATAATACTCCATTCGTGCGGGTGTAAGCCAAGGTGCAGTCTCGGCATTGGGCCTCCATACCCCTTCAGCTGTGGCAGTATTGTCAACAACCGGTATGAATAAGACCAATGATATAGGGGGGGGTGTAATAGTGTTTAGGAGTGACGGTTGAGCTGTCGGTAAAGGGACTTCTGGGTTCGATGCAGATAATGCAGCGACAATCGCCAGATTAGCACCAGCTGATGTTCCGCTGACGGAAATACGGGAGGTGTCTATCTTTTGTAGTTCAGCTGGACAAGATGCGACCCATCTCACGGCGCCAATAGCATCCTCGACTGCAGCTGGGAATGGGTTTTCAGGGGCCAGCCCATAGTCTACGCTGACGACTATACACCGCGCTCCTGGTATTTGTGTAAGCATCGTACGATCAGACACAATCAGAGAAACACATACTCTCACAAGCCCAGCAGCAAAGATCGGTGCCATTACTGAGTCCTCCAACTGCCCAGCCACCACCGTGAAACCAGACGAGGACAGGCCAGCCTCGCTCATCACATTGGCCTGTTGGTGTGTAAACTCTCACTCGGAATCTAGCAACGTCATAATCGCTGATGCTCCCTACGGGAATAGGTTTTGTTCCTCCAGGAGGGAGGGAATGTTTCTTAGTACGTATCGAGCCGTCCCAGTCATTGATCTCGTCTCTTTCGATATACTGCAGATGCGCCTCATGATAGGCGACATATTGGGAATCTAGACTGTCACGAATGGCGGGGTGGAGGGGTTGACAGATCTTGCGGTGTGTGTCACCTGTCATTGTAACGATTCACGGGTTTGGAGTAGGTTTCGAAGAGTTGTAGTGAATCAAATTGTGAGGTTGATTCAGTTGATTCAGAGGTCAGAGGTGAAACCCCACGCTTCCTCCAACCCCCACTATTCAAAGGCCAGACCCGCATGCTGAGACTTAAGCTTACATTTCGAACCATTTTCTGCCAGTTTTAGAGTCAGAAATAGTCATTACGTGTGCTCACAGTACTTTCTCAGATTTAAAATCCGAAGATATCTTGAACATCGATTCAACAGCCTCATTGTATCAAAACAAGGTGACCCCAGTAATTTAGTTCCGACTCCGTATCCGGGCTGCCCGAACGGTGCCGTAAATAGTGGGGCAGATGCCGAAGCCCGTCGCCGTAACTCATAGGGTTATCCCGACTTTGGAGCTGAGGTTTGACTGAGCATGGTATAAAAGGGCAAACCAGTTTCCTGCGTAGGATACCACAGCAGCAACTTGTTATCGGTCCTTTCAGGCTTTACAACAACACATATTACCATTGAGATGGAGTCAGCCTAGCAACTTCAAACACTCATGACCTGACAGTTGTGTTACCACGTTCACGGCTTGGCTTGTTCATAGGCATGCGTAAAGTGTTTGGCAAGTCAGCCTGCAGATTCGGCAATTCTAACGGGTAACGTCCGTCACCCAAAGACTGGCCACCCCCACAGACCGGCCACCTCACTTTTAACCCAGCCACCCAATTTATATATACTTTAAACAGTCACAACTCTACCAATTTAATTCCAATTAATTTCAAACTAACGCCAAT